CACTTTTATGCGCTTTTTATATAAATCCTGATCAATATAAGATACCCATTCAGCGAACCTATTGCAAGTCCCATTCTTTAATAAGTTTATTACGAAAGACAAATTGATTCTAATGATTAGGCTTAGACGATCGAGGGGGGATAAACACAAATATGCACACGAGATAACAATACGAGCTCATCATAGGCAATCAGGAAAGAAAGTTTTGGGAGTTTGAAAGCAAATCTGGTATTTTATAGCGCTTATTGTAAAATATGCGAGTTAATCTGGATATTATCATTGCAGGCAAGCATTCTTTTGTGCAATGTATGTGCTCCCTTATTCATCGTAATATGTGTCCAATAATTATTTACCTAAAATTAAACAAAGATATTGTAGAAAATTAACTAAAATTTCTTTAATTAATCAATAGATTTGTGGGCGAATCTCTTCAATATAGGATTTATCCGCATTCTGAATTTGTTTCTTATGGAAATAATATCACCAGTGATGAGGAATAGGCTAATACAAACCTGTTGTATTCAATTCTAGTAATTTCTCATATAAACACCTTCCCTCTTTATTTTGTATCGGTGCGATATTTAATCTTAAGGAATACCATAGTTCCAGCTTCTGCGGAATCAAACTCTATCAAACTTTTAACCATGCTATCGATAGCAACGCAATGAATTATTATTTACAAGGATTTTTACATAAATCAAATTTAGCTTCCAAATATTTCAGTAATTTTCTTAGGCACAGGTTACAACTAATCTAAAAGACCAAGCCTTTTATTCTATTACATTCTGTGGCGGTATCAAATTTTAGTTGCCATAGCAATCAACTACATTTCCACATTTAGCTTCATATATTTAAGTTTTATTCTTGTCTAACCGACTTAAATCGGAGTATATTTCGATAAACCAGCAGAATAGATTTTATTTTCAAGGAATACTTTAAAGCATTCAAAGCCTTAACACTGGGAAGCCATGAATCTATAGCTGATCACTTTTGAAACATAATACCTATTAATCTGTTCCCCTGTAACCGATTTTACAAAATATACCATTCAAAGCTTCTGTAATAAGTGGCATAACTGAGGTAAAGTCCATTAAGACCATTACTGATTACGCCCTGATTAGTGAGATTCAGTCCCTTTGAACTAAAATTGTTTGAAAGTTGATTTTATGTTTGGATCTACAATAAAAGTCACATTTAGTCATACCTTTATCATATTTATTTCCCATTTTAGTGATAGAGAATCAGTTCCACCAAAATATTAGTTGGTATCTCGTTCATAACTTTCGTTCTAGCTTTGGTGATCTTGTAATACTATTACAATATATAATTTCCCATGCATTGAATATCTACTTGCTAGCATTTAACTTAGCCTATTTGCGTAATGACTATTGCTTTCACTTGCTACCTTCTTGCTGATCATTTTCATCGTGCTCAACTTATCTTAGATTATTAATAGAATTTTCAATGGAAAAGTAAGGTCTATTCATACCACTGTTGAAAAATTCAGTTACCAGTCTCTCACCATCATAACGAAATGGTGTGAACACATATCAGCTATCTGATTTACTAGTAATCTCTCAGATCTACTTTAAACAAAAAATAAGTAATGTCATCGAATTATACAGCACAGAATGTGATATGGGAAAATGCCTTCTGGCCTTCGGTAAAAGTCACATCTGCGCTACGACCCAAAGGCATTTGTGGCACCGTGGCATTGTGCTCAACATGTCGAGATTATGCGCTTCAGCGTCATGATTCGAGTCCCACTGGGGGGGTTAATGAGACCTAGGCGATTTCGAAATAGAAGTACAACTTAGATAATAATAGCTTTTGAAGAGCAGAGCAATATGCAAATCTATCGAAACGTCATATTATTTATATTTTTGGGGAAAATTCAACTATCAGCACTTCATCATCTTAAACCTCCATTTAATCAGCATCTCTTTCGGAAGGTGGTTTAAAAAATGAGTCAGACGTATAAGATAAAGAGCTTACATCATTTAAATTTGGTATTTCTATCCATTCCTCTTAGGGCTAAATATCCTCTTATGCAAGACATAATTAATATACTATTCTAACACAATACGTGAAGTAAAAGTGTGCAAATATTAGGCACATACATATATACTGTTTCTATAATTGTGGTTATTACTCAAATATTCATCATGTTAATGCATAAGGTATGCTCATGGCAGTTATAGTTAGTCCGTCTAAAAGGAATTAAAAATGAGACTTTATATTTGCTCATATCTCTATAGTACGCTTTTAATGATTACCTGTAGTCACTTGTCCTAACAGAACGCAGATCAAATGGGCTTCAAACCTACATAATATGAGGAAGTAAATAAAAACATCTCGCCTATATTTAGGAAGATTATTCCCCAATAAAGAGTATCTTGTCATTTACATGATGCTTAAGTCTTGCTGTCAAAAAGTGACGGATTGGCGCAAAATACACAAGTAATTGACCTGTTGAGGAAATTAATATAGGCTTAGGAGCTTTTTTACATACATCCATTTTCAGCACTTTTAAACTGGTTGTTTTTGTCGCCAAAATATTCCATCAGATCTATACGTTCTCGACCACAAGGAAGTTTCTCGGCAACTGGATGCTTATCGACAAGCCACAACGTCGTACCAAGACGCTGCTAGTTGGAGGCAAAACGAGCTAACTGATACTGTTTTGAGACCGACACCGGCCATGACTTCATTGAATAGAGACGCCGCCGGAGGCTTCGCTACCTCAACTTGTAAAATGTCTCATCTTCAGCCTCCGACTGATGCGGTGAAGAGAGAAAGTGCGGTACTAACAACAGGCGTCACTCTGGCCGCAGCCCCAACACACGTGAAAGATGAGCTAAACAACTGGAGAAAAAGCCTGGAACATGTAGTCTCAGATACTGCCCGACCAACGATGCTTCTGGCCTCCATAAACGCAACCATAGAACCAAGAAAATAATGGCCCATACCAGGCTTGCTATTCACTTTGGCATAATACACTCTCCGCCAGCTCAACATTTCTACCCGCCCTCATGTGGATGCTCATTTCTACCATGAATCCTAAAGAGGGCTCACATCTGGTGCTAAAGATCACTAGTTA